GTCGAGTCACCTAGGTCGCCCTGATGCACGCAAGAGGCATCCATGGACCACCACAACGATGCATGGTCAAGCGTGGTGGTGTATGTGAGTGGCGACATCCAGAACCTACCCCCACCAACCATCGACTCTCCTGACGCGATGGGGGGTGGGATTGGGACGCGGATCTCGCCACGTGCTCGAATGCCGCACCCTACCCCCGCTGCCCATCAGTTTGCCAGAATCCGCAGATCGGCGAGGGTGGGGTTCGGATTTCGCCGCCGGGCGAAAGGGAAGGCGTTCTAAGAAGACTGGGGAATTCTTTTAGAGGCCGGGGCCCTCTTGGAGGGGACGGGAGGCTTCTGAAAATGATTCCGACATGTTCTGACAAGACCTCCACGTTCTCAGAAGGCTGCCACTCTCTTGTGCGCGCCGCCTGCAAAGTCTAAAATCCAACGTCTGCCGGATTGTGTTTTCCAATCCCGGCCTTTTGCAAGAGGGCCCCCAAACGGACCAGAGGGCCCCAGGACAGCACAAGAGGCGCCCGAGAAGGCCCAATCCAAGCGGAACGCGCCAGGGGCGCCGCCAGAGGCGCCGCCAGGAAGGCCCAGCGCAGATCCAAGAAATCCGCTCGGACCGTCGAAAGCTTCTATGTTTATGCAACTTGGTCTTCTTCGAGCAATTGCTCATTTCGATCGTATGTTACGAGAACGGCTCCCATGCACCGTACCATGTCTGGAACATTGTCTGGACACCGTCCAGGCCACGCTCCAACGGTGTACGGTGCATAGCTGTCGGCTCTGGGAGCCGAAAAACTGTGTACCCTACCAGTCCTAGGTCGAGAATCGACGACGCCTCGGGAAACACCAGCGCAGTACGGTGCACACAAGTCGTCCGCGGATAATTGCCAATCGGCGCTCCTGTGTGTCGTACTCCCCGGACTCCTCGAAGCGGCGGTCCGACTCCGCCTTCTCCTCCTCCTTCTCCGCCTCCGCGGACAGCAACCGGCGGGCGCCCGGGCACGGGTACGGGCACCCTCCTCGCTCCTCGCCTCCCCGAGGGCCGTCGCGGAGAGCTGGTGGGCAGAGGGCAGGCTAAGTTGGCATCTCGAGTCAGCGAATCGAGGTTCGAGGATGGCGGTTCGAGGATCGGGCCCCTTGACCCCCAGGCCTCCGACGACACGACTTGTTCTGTCGCGACGGGCCTCCCTCATCTCGGCCTCGAAGGGGTGGGGGGGGCGGAGGGGGGGGGGGGCGTGTTCGTGGCCTGGGGCCTCCTCCTGCTCCCGCTGCTCCCCAGACCTGAAGCACACACTAACACTTTGCGCCCCCTTGGAGTCGGCGACTCCGACGGGTGCGGTTTGCAAAGGGTCCGGGTGCGCTTTGCACCCGGCACCCTGGGGGACACCCTGGGGGTGGGCGGGGACCTCGATAGAGTTCTCCGCCGGTGCGCCCCGAGGAGGCCCGACGAAGACAATGCAGTGTCGTGCCCCCCAGGCCACAACGGCGCCAATCGCAAACCGCACCCCAGCACAACCACAAGGCGCAGGTCCGAACCGAACATCTAGCACAAACATCTCACAGCATATCGTTATCCAGGCGCCATAGCCACAAAGCCCCAGCCACCTGACAGATCCTACATTGTCACTTCTGAGCGCGCGCGTCGCCACTGGGGCACCGACGCGGCGCACATGGTGCGGATATGGTTGGGTCATGCTGATGTCTCAACGGTTCTCCCTCACTCGTCCTCCAGGGGTGGCGTTTCTTCGGGGCCCTGGGCCGCCAGAAGTGGATCTGGGACGCGAAGCTACCCCCGGGGAAGCGGTCGGGAGCTTTGGGTCGCCGATTGGCAGCATCCCAGACGAGGTTACGCTGCAACTTGCAGCGACTGGCCTTGTCCAGACTGAGGGCATGAGTGCTTTAAGCCTGCATGTGCGGGCTAAGGAGGAGGCAGCTCGGGCTGCAGCCTCCGCTGGCACATAAGGATGATGCGCACACGTTTCGACCCCCAGGCCCCCCCCCCCCCCAAAAAAAAAAAACATCATATCGGAGGATGTCCTCGTCCTTCCTCTGCCGCCCCCCTGCCCTGCCAGGGTGGCGTCTCCAGGAAGCTGGGCCCACCAGCGGGGCTGAGGCGCCCCAAAGCCATTCCACAGCCGGACCTCAGGCAGGAGAAACTCCCTCCAGACCATGAGGCCCTCCGTCGGCCAAAACAAACAGAACATCTCCAAGGGTACCCTCCCCGAGGTGCACAGTGACATCCACCGAGCACGAAGAACAGTAGAGCACCCTCCCCTAACCGACCTCGATCTTACACCTCGGTCCGACTCTGTCTCGTGTCCTCCTGCTCCTCTTCCAGTCTCCCTCTCCCCGTCGGCGCACCTCCCCCACCCCGTCCACGTCGTCCCCGTCCTCGTCCTCGTCCTGTTCTTTCTCCTCATCATCCCTGGTCCCATGATAACTCTCCTCCTGCTCCAATGTATCATAATCATCAGCGTCATCATCACCATGAGCACCATCATCATCATCATCGTCATCATCATCAGCATCATCATCATCGTCATTGTCGTCATCATCGTCATCATCATCATCATCGTCATCATCATCATCCTCATCATCATCCTCATCATCATCCTAATCATCATCGTCATCATCATCGTCATCATCATTAGCATCATCATTAGCATCATCATCCGCATCATCATCATCGTCATCACCATCATCACCACCACTACCATCACAACCAGCATCATCACCATCACCGTCACCATCATCATCATGACTGGCGGCAGCAGCAGCATGATTTGCATCATCATGAAACAGCAACATAAATCGTCGGCAACATCATCATCGTCGTCATCAGCAACACAATCACCACCACGACCATCATCATCATCATCATCATCATCATCATCATCATCATCATCATCATCATCATCATCAGCATCATCATCATCATCATCATCATCATCATCACTATCCTCCTCCTGATCCTCCTCCTTCTCACAATCCCTACCATCCGCATCATCATCTCCCTCATCAGCCTCATCATCCTTATCATCATCGTCGTCATCACCATCATCCCTCCGCCTCCGCCTCCGCCTCCGCCTCCGGGTATTACGTCGCGAACGACGCCCGGGCCCTCAGGGAGAAACCGGGCCTGCCCTGGGATCTGACAGGGGGCGAATATCATCTTGGCACATACCACCCCGACCCCGAAACACAACAAAAAAACCTACCACCACCACTACCGAATATCACGTTTCACAATGATTGCGTGTCAAATGTGCGCAGGGCCCACAATCTAATCTTATCTGGCACGCGGGCACCGTACAAGAAACCCGTCTGGCTGTGGGGCAGGAGAAAATGAGGGAGGGGAAAAGAAAACTGCCCCGGCTGCTAGGGCGTGGGGGCGGCTAGACCTGCGTCAGTAGGCGACAGGCCGGGCACAAGACGGAGCTATAGAACCGTCAGTCGCCCCCTTGGCGTCAGCGCAGGATCGCCGCCAAGTTCGGGTTCAGACCCGCGAAGACCCTAGACAAAGTGGAGACCGTCAAAATGTCAATTCCTACCCCCCTCAACACACACTCACATTACGTCCGGTATCACTCTGCAAGACCACCATTGCACCACGAGACCAAGATATAATGGCACCGAGGAGGTGGCCGCACCAGCGGTGGCAAGCACGCGACAACCGGCCCAGAACCAAACTCTGGCGTCGCAGGGTGAAGAACAAACATATTCAGACGCCTACTTTTGCCAGATCCCCTTACAAAGAACGAATCAACGACACCCAACACGGACACCGACTTATACCTGAGGGAAACGTAGGGCCTTCTCCCGAACGCGCGCTGGCCACACGAGTCGCCGGTCTGCCCCCCGGGACCCGCGACTGACACTGCGACTGACACCGCAGCCCCAGCCGGAACCCCAGCCGGAGCCGAAGCCCCCACGGAGGAAAGAGCCGAAGCCACAACCGCCTCCGTGGCGTGATTATCCCAAGGAAGTTGTGCAATCCCGCCCCCCCCACAATCTGGACTGCTTAGAGGATGGCCGACCCGAGCACAATCAAGAAAGCCCTGCCAGAGCAGCAACGACCAGACCTCTAACATTAGGCACACAAGGGGGCACCCCGAATGGGGCTGGGGTTAGCCGCGTCCATTGTCCTCATCCCCTCACCCTGAAACAGCACACCACCAGGAAACCCAAAACCAGGAAACCCAGAAACCCTTCTCCCTTGCTCGCTTTCCTTCCCTCCTCCTCCCCCCCTCCTTTCCCTCCCTTCTCCGCTCCTCTCTCCTTGCGGTCACAGCATCCCCTACTTCTCATGATCACCATCACCATCGTCATCATAATCAGTATTATCAGTCTCATCGCCATCGTCATCGTCATGGTCATCATCATCGTAATCAGCATCATCATCATCATCATCATCATCATCATCATCATCATCATCATCATCATCATCATCATCATCATCGTCATCATCATCACCATCACCATCATCATCAGCAGCAGCAGCATCAGCTTCATCATTATCGTCGCCATCATCATGATCATCATCATCATAATCAGCATCATCATCAGCATCGTTGTCATCATACTCGACATCATCATGATCAGCATGACCATCATCATCATCATCATCATCGACATCATCATCAGTAACAGCAGCATCGTCATCGTCATCGTCATCGTCATCATCATCGTCATCATCATCATCATCATCATCATCATCATCATCATCATCATCATCATCATCATCCCGTTATCATCCTGCCCATCCTCCACTTGCCGATCTTCCACTTTCGTCGACCTCGACCTCCCAGTCCTCTCAATCCGACTCCGCATCATCTCATCCTCCTCTACCTCAGCATATTCGCTCCCTGCATCATCCTCCTGATTGGCATCGTCGGCACCGTCGTCGTCATCATCAACATCTTCAGCATATCCATCAGCCTCAGCATCACCGCCAGCATCAACATCATCATCATCATCATCATCATCATCATCATCATCATCATCATCATCATCATCAGCATCATCATCATCACCATAATCATCATTATCGGTGTCATCCTTATCATCAGCAGCAGCATCATCATCATCATTTCATCAGCACCACCATCATCATCAACACCACCATCAACATCATCATCAGAAAAGCATCATCAGCAGCAACAACATCGTCATCATCATCATCATCATCATCATCATCATCATCATCATCATCATCATCATCATCATACTCATCATCACAACCATCACCGACACCATAACCATCAACATAATCCGCATCATCACCAACAACATCGTCATCACCCTAGTCGTCACCATCAGCATCATCGTCATTAACAAGTACGTCGTCCTCATGATGATCAGCATCATCCTCACCATCAACATCATCAACAGCATCATCATCACCGTCACAATCAGCATCACAATAGTAACTAAGATCAGAATCATCATCACTATCACCATCATCAGCAGCATCATCACGCTCCTCATGTTGTTGCTCGTCCTCCTCCTCCTCCTCCTCCACCTCCTCCTCCTCCTTCTCCTACTACTCCTCTTCCTGCTCCCACTCCTACTCCTACTTCTACTCCTCAGGGCCACCGACACCGCCGACGACGACACCGCCGACGACGACGACGACGACGACGACGACGACGACGACGACGACGACGGCGACGACGGCGACGACGGCGACGACGGCGGCGGCGACGGCGACGGCGACGGCGACGGCGACGGCGACGGCGGCGACGGCCAGAAACTCGACGCGGACACCAGCCGCGGCGACGAGAGGCCCCCTTGAAGGCCCTCGACCTCGAGCCTTGGCGCGATCCCACTGTCGCCGACAACAGGAGCGACGATCGAGAGACGTGGCCCAGAGGCCTCCCGAGCTCCTGGAGGCCTTCGGGCCCCAAAAAACCCGAGGGTGTCCGAAGCCCTTCGCCGAAGCCCCGATCGTCGTCGGCGTCGGCGCGGGCGTCGTCGGATCGCATCGTCGTCGGGCGGCGTCGCCGTCGCCGTCGCCACTGGTCTACGACGAGAACAATGTCAAGGAACGATTGGTTCAGGATACGTTTTTGGAATCCCGATGCTGCTGGCGGCCTTCGCCCCGTCGAACTCGGCGCTTCGTCCCTGGCCGCTCGAGACAGCAAGAGAACCTGGAGACCTTGAAACGCACTATAACTACATCCCTCCTCGAAATCAAACGCAAGTTTGTCCCGCAACGTGGCGGCGCCCCAGGGCGCCAAACGTTCACTGTCCGCGCCGACAGTGGCGACTGCAACCATCAAAACCGGACCACGCGGGCCGCGTCTCGCGCGTCGACCAGCCTCACAAGCTTGCGCCTGCCTTCGAGAAAACTTGTACGACCCCTTTGATCATCCGACGATCGTCGATCGCCGATCGCCGTCGACCGGGGGGCGTCGGGAGGCGGCGCCGCGGCCGCGCCTTGCCAGACGCCGCGCCACCGCCGCCCTCCGCGCCCGAGGCGAGCGCCCGCCGCTGCGCGGCGAGGGCGGGCCACCGCGCCGCGCAAGCCACGGCGCTGCGCTGCGGCAGGGGCGGGCGCCTCCGCTCGCGCAACGCGCGTGCGGGGGCGCTCGGCGAGGGCCGCCGGCAAAAACAACGTTGTATGGTGGGTCCAGGTTCCCCGCACTTCGATGGTGGGAAACCTCGAATTCGAATTATGGGAAACCTGGAATCACCACGGAAAGCATTTTTCCCCAACCCTCCTTGGTTGGGCATTCGTCTCAAATGGAGCACTGCGGTCGCGTCCTCCTCCCGCCTCCCGCCTCCCGCCTCCTGCCTCCCGCCTCCCGACCCCCATCCTTCTTGTCTCCTCTTGCCTTGCCTGGGGGCTGCGATCTACGACACTGTCGCCACTTTCGAGGGCTACTGGGGGGTCCAGCGGAGTGAGGCACCGCGCAGACCTGAGCGGGACCTCCCCGTCCCTGTGGGGCTGCGATCTGCGACACTGTCGCCGCGTTCGAGGGCTGCGGGTGGGTCCAGCGGAGTGAAGCACCGCGCAGACCTGAGCGGGACCTCGCCGTCCCTGGGGGGCTGCGCTCTGCGACACTGTCGCCGCGTTCGAGGGCTGCTGGTGGGTCCAGCGAAGTGAGGCACAGCGCAGACCTGAGCGGGACCTCGCCGTCCCTGGGGGGGGGCTGCGATCTGCGACACTGTCGCCACTGAAAGGCTGCTGGTGGGTCCAGCGAAGTGAAGCACCGCGCAGACCTGAGTGGGACCTCGCCGTCCCTGGGGGGCTGCGATCTGCGACACTGTCGCCACTTTCGAGGGCTGCTTGTGGATCCAGCGCGGAATGAGGCACAGCGCAGACCTGAGCGGGACCTCGCCGTCCCTGGGGGGCTGCGCTCTGCGACACTGTCGCCACTGTCGAAGGCTGCTGGTGGGTCCAGCGGAGTGAAGCACCGCGCAGACCTGAGCGGGACCTCGCGGTCCCTGGGGGGGCTGCGATCTGCGACCCTGGGGGGCTGCGATCTGCGACACTGTCGCC